TGATTGACCTGAGCCAGATGGTGCTTCCTGTTCATGAGGTTCCTGTTGATGAGCCATTGAGTCTGTGTACTCTCCCTCTTCCAGGGGTCGGTGCTCTTTGGCATCGGGTTGGTTGGGTGATGTGGATAACTGCAACTGCAGTTAATAGTGTCAAGATACTGAAGGTACTTCCAAAGATAATGGCGGTGCGGTCTGAGGGGGTGAGAGGCATAAAGCTTGTTGTACCACAATGAGTGTTTATGGTCTCGAGGTACGATGGGTGCCGTTTTAAATAACGGGCTGAAGATTTCTTTTTCTTTGGAAGTATAACAGTGACTGCCTTGAAGCGGTACAGTTACTGTTAACAACAGTAAAGGTAGTAAGGGCAAGCTTCGGCTAATTGTTAAGCACTAACTCTAATCTGAACCAAGGCTGATCTCTATCCTGTCACTCACATTCGGTGATTCAGTGTTAGAGAGGCATTGGTAGATTGCGAGAAGTTAGGCGTCACTTATAGCGGAAGCGAGGAGCTTGTAAGAGTTAGGAGTATATAACCTTAGCTGAAGCTGGGGTCTAAGGCCACAGCGTAGGCTAGCTTAAATACATGTTAGACTCGTACTAATAATAGTATCTACAAGGGCACATGCAGTGAGAAGTGCACCTTTCAATGAATGAGGAGGGAGGACACTAAAAGAAGTGTACTCCCGATGAATGAGAGTAAAGAGCGCATGTCACCTGTATCTGCGTGGGACTCTGTCTGAATAGGCTGCATCCCATAGACCGCCCTTGACTAGCGGTTGACTCCTGTCCAACTATTAAGAAGCATGATGCCATCAAGAGAAGTATGATGGTGCATGCAGTTCGTCAGTCATCCAGGATGCGGCAGCTGTGAACTGGGGTGACGGCAACTGGGTAAACGGGTAAAGAGCGTGCCGGTGGAATATCATGGGTCTGAGAGATAAGATAGGCAGGTCCAGGGTTCCAAGGGATAAGGATAAGATAAGATAAGGAAAATAGAGGTAAAACCATAATACACGCATGGTGGGAGAAAAAGGATATCTTTGGTATTGGATGGGCTTTGGTGCAACAAGAGCTCAATGCTGCCATTGCACTCAATCCTCAAGGTTCAGCAGCCGCTGCGGTGAACATGGAGAAGATTATCAAGTGGAAGCTCATTCTTCAGCTCTATGTTGCTCTCCCACCTCAATACCATGTCTTCGTGGGTGGAACCATTCCAGGATCTTATCACAAGCTCGCGAAAATAGTAAGTACATTGAGAACTCACATATTTGGTCCTGACTTTGATTATCTTCTAGATGAAAGGCACGGTAATGGACATTTGTCCAATCTTCATCAACTGGGTCAAAACACACGGTGCAGTGATTTGCGAAGGCATCGTTCCTTCTAACTGCTTTGGACAGGACTTCGACCAGTATACTGATCTGCTGTGCCGAAAGCTCGTCGGATATGAGCCAGGCAAAGAGAAATTGGCACGTTTGTGCCCTTGTCTCTATGAGCTCGGGAAAAGAATTGGAGGGGACACCCTATTCAGGAGTCCAGCAACTGTGAAGGTACATATATATCGTGTTTTGAATCAATTGGACAGTATTAACATGCTTCGAAGATTCTAACTTGTCTTCTTTGGGGAGCAAGTGCACTTAGGGCCAAGAGATTCCAGACAAAGACCACGTATGGTGAGCTATGGACTGTTACAGAGGTGACACCTGCTGCCATTGCATTCGCGGTGATTGTGGTAAGCATGAAATGCAGTGTTATGTGTCATGACTAATGAAAAGCATATAGCTTCGCTTTCTACTTTCAGGCGATCCTTCCTTTACCTTGGACAGAGGAGCAAGATCTAAAATCAACTATTTCTCTGACTTCGAGTTTTATGTCAGCACTATCGAAAAGAAGCTCATGAAAGGCTCCAAATCCATGCTTGCCACTATTCAACTCTACAATGAGCAAATCTTCCCAACTGCAAAACACACAAAATCAGCAGCACTGTCTTTGAAAGCCAACCTGGAGGAGAATTCAGATGAAGAAGAAATGCTGAAAGGACTGGATAATATTGATGCAGAGGTTTTCTCAGATGATGACGATTTCGAATGTGACGTACCTGCCATCACCAACCATGTACTTGATTCCCAGGCCAGTGTCCAGATGATACCAGCCCCCATAACCACTACGAGTGTTGTTGAGGCTGGATCTGTTCCTTTGGCCCAGCCTTGTGATACGACGACGAAAGAGAAGAGAGGAAGGAAGAAAGCAAACCCAAGTGCAGGGGCTCCAGCTTGCCGAAGTGCTCGCGGCCAAGCACCTGAGTTACTGGTCCAACCAGCACCAATGGGAAAGGGGTCGGGTCGTGGCTGAGGACATAAGCAAAATGATTCTGATGAATCTCATCTGGCAACGACTCCGCCTACATGATCAACCAGGTCTGCAGTTCGATCAGGCAACAAAGATGGCACGCAGGTTGTTCCTATGGCTGCGGTTGTCAAGGTAGAGAATGAAGAGAAAGAAGCAAGTAAGAATGAGGATGAGGACGATGGTGAAGGCAACGGCAACGACGAGGACGAGGACGAGGAGGAAGAGGACCTTGAATACGTACATTGATTTAGTACTTTCTTGTTTCTTGGACTTTATATAGAGTGTTGTTTGCTGCCCAAAATGTTGGGTGAAAAAAGTGATTATGTGAGTTATTGCTTTATGATAACCCAAAATCCTATATAGAATATGTACATATAGTGTAATAGAATAATTGTATTATTAACTTAATTTGTAATTTAACTGTCACAGGTTCAACTCCTGTATCATGTATCTTCTGTAATTTGCTTAATTGAACTAACCTTCCTGAATTGTCTCTATTTCCAAGTTCATGTGATGTTAATTTTTTCCATTTTACCAAAACACCCTTCACTATTTTATGAATACATTGTGCATTACATGATGTCTTGCTATACCATTGCAATAGTGAGGTTGGAATGTGAGCTAATTGGCAAGGCCCTTTGCAAGGCCTTTGCAAGGTCTTTACAAGGTCATTGCGAGGGTATGCCAGACTGGCATGCAAGGCACATGCAAGATTTCTTATGTGACACCTTGCCAGCACCGACTCTCAGCATGGAAGGTCACACTTTGTTGCCCAGCTCCTTGCAGCATTGCATGGCATTGCAGCGCCTTATTTTTATTAATTAGGTAAATGCAGAATCTCTGACATACAAGTCTAAGTTTATGAGGATTCATTCTTTTGTGCTATATTTTGAACCTGGACCCTGCATTTTAAGTTTTATCTTAAAATTCAATAATGACAAATAATGCTTCAGTTATAGCAATAGTTGTCTTTCACAAATAATAGAGCTAAATATGCTCACAGCTATAAACTTTGCGCTCTTAATCTGATTTGTTATATCTCCTATCACACTGATGTTATGCACCAATCAGCTTGAAATTGGTATTAGAGGTATATTTCATGATTATTGGTACTTATTGGTCTATTTTAGCTACTTTTGATGCATCCTATGGTTCCAAAAGCACAGATGGCAACCATTTCACCTCCACCTCACATGAGACAACACCATGACTGACATCCAAACAGTAACTCCTCACAACTGCCATCAACTAGGACAATGATGATAACAATACTCTGCCAGCCATTAACTCAAAACTGGTACCATCCCCACCTATCACCCTACCCAGCATCTCTGTTAAGATTGTGCCAATAGAGACAAGAAAGGGATTGCATACAGCAGAGGCTGTGGAGTGCATAGGGCATAGGCAAAGCTATTAGCAACATCACCCCTGAGCTGAAGCACTAAAATGATTACAGATGGAGATCTGCAGAGTGGCAGAGACAAGATAAGAGATAAGTCTAATAGATTGGAGGTCCGTGGACTGGAGAGCAAGAGTTTAGACTTAGAGTCAGGGAGAGAGTTTAGGCTAAACCAAGTTGATATTTGAACTGAGTATCTACAGTGTAGTTCTACAGTTTATATACTGTTCAGAAGTCTGATCTAGTTCCTACTTGGAGTGGTCTACATTCTAGAGTGGTCAGCAGTTATAGTTTACCAATCAGTAGCCAATAGAGTCTGATGACATACTTGCTACTGATGTTGGGTACTTGATAAATTAAAATGGAGAGATGAAATATAAAATAGAATATGAAATAGAAACTGAGAATTGGATTCTGTAGGGAACCCCATGGGCTCCAAATATTATGCTGTGGAGGAGGTGGACCTCTAGACCTGCTGGTGTTGACTGATCAAGGCAGAGGGTTCTGAATTGTGGTTTGTTGGAGTTGAGCTTGATATTGGGGTTTCATTGGCATGCATGTTACTGTAGTGCACCAACTCAAAACAGCACAAGGTGTAAGTCTAATGTGTTACTCACATTTGGTGATTCACAAGGTGGATAGCATTGTGAGTTCTTGTGGATGGTGATGGGCAAGTTAGTTGTGAACCAGGGAGTTCAGTAAGAGTTAGGAGTGTATAACCTTAGCCAAAGCTGGGGTCTAAGACTGCAGCATAGGCTAGCTTAAATACATGTTAGACTCATACTAAGAATAGTGTCTACTGGGATGCATACAGTGAGAAGTGTGCTCTGCAGTGAATGAGGAGTGAGGACACTGAAAGAAGTGTGTCCTCAATGAATGAGAGTAAAGAGTGCATATCACCTGTATCGATGTGGGACTCCATCTGAATAGACCATATCCCATAGACTGCCCTTGACTAGCAGTCGACTCTTGTTGAACCACTAAGAAGCACAATGCCATCATGAGAAGCATGATAGCACATGCAGTATGTCAGTCATCCAGGATGTGGTAGGGTGATGGCAACTGGGTAAATGGGTAGGAGGTGTGCCGGCAGAATATCGTAGGTCAAACACCATAAATAGAGCTAGAGAAACCTACCATCTCTCATGCATGTTTCATGTATCAGTCTGAGGTGGGAAGGGCAGAAATGAGCTGTTGAGATCAGGATTTACAAGTTCCACAGGAGATTTCTTGGCATTGGATACTTACTAATAGGTGATTCTTGGTGCATCTCATTATCTATCGAGTCTGCCTATAAGTTAGATGTTCAACTCAGAATTTTGTATACTACTGCTCTCAGTTTACGAATACTGAGAATATGTTTCAAGATGCATTGGGCATCAGTGAGAAAAGACATGAAGTTGAGCCAAGGATAAGTGGCCAAGAAACAGTGTGATGCCAAAGTCATGTGGATAGCAGCATCTCCTCAGCATTGTGTTAACCAAAGCATACAATGCCACTTGTAAAACACTATTTTGCTAGGATTGAAATCAAGCTTGTTCAATGTTATGGATAGGATGACTTGATTGGTGATTTGAATAGGTATCCATCAAGAGATATCCTTGGCCACTGTGCTAAAAATGTTGAGCTGAATGAAAGTAAAGGACATAAGATCTCTTTCTTACCAGTCATGTTGGTGAGATATGAGTGAGGGTAAAAGAGTCACCTTAGAATTAAGACTGGTTACATATCAGAGTGCCAACATAGCCTAAGAACCTTCTAGTGATTCTAGGTTCAAGGCATAAATTGGATGAGGGATCTGAGCATGTGCCAATTGACTTTGGTAGAGTCCTACTTGAATGAGAAGAGCTGTCAAGTCATATAGATTCAATGGATGTCAGACAAACTACAGAGAAATTTGAGATATCATAGCAGTGCTTTGTCTATTGCTAAGTGTAAAAATGAGTTGGACAAAGGAGAAAGAACAGGAAGCTTTGTACTCAAATATAAAATTCTCCAAATTCTTGGAAGTAAGCTTGTTTGAAGTCTGATTAGTCCAATACTGCCATCAGTCTCACAAAACCACATCAAGAAATTGAATTGATACCTATGCTGTTAGGATGCTATTTGCCAGAAGACTCCTGTAGGGATCTGCCAAACAGAGTATATTCTTTTCATTGATCTGATACAGCTATCCATTCCCTGCTCTTCTTAGAAGCTCCAGTCTTTGTTGTCAATAATATCCCACCTCAACAACCTGGCAGGATAACAGTGGTTGCACAGTCTCATGATGAAGAATTGAGGTCACCGGTAGGAAAACAAGACAAATGTGCATTACGAGCCATGCCCAAGCAATGAGCCATAATTGTTAGGCTGTATATCATGTCATCATAATCAGTCTTTGTCCCAAAATTGTCAATAAAATCTGTTAGGATCATGCCAATAGGAATGTGGCAGAGGTTGCACATAGCAGAAAGCTGCAGAATGCATTGAGCATAGGCAAAGCTATTAGCAACGTCATCCCTGAGCCAAAGCTCTAAGATGAATATGGACAGAAGTCTGTGGAGTGACAGAGACAAGGTAAGAGATAAGTCCAACAGATTGGAGTTCCACAGACTGGAGAACAAGAGTTTTGACTGGGAGTCAGAGAGAGAGATTGGGCTGAATCAAGTTGATATTCAAACTGAGTATCTACAGTGTAATTCTAGGGTTTATATACTAGTTAGAAGTCCAATCTAGTTCCTACTTGGGGTGGTCTACATTCTAGGGTGGTCAGTAGTTGTAGTCCACTGGTTGGTAGCCTATAGAGTCTAATGACATGCTACACTACCAATGTCAGGCTCTTGATAAATTAAAATGGAGAGATAAAATATAAAATAGAATATGAAATGGAAACTGGGAATCAGAATCTGTAGGATTCCAGAATGTGGTTTGTTGAAGTTGACTTGGAATCAGAGTTCCATTGGCATGCTCATTATAGTATTCTCCTTTTAGCATTCTTGTCCTTAAGAACACAGATCCTGATGGCCAAGTGTGATCATGTGAATTTTTTTGAGGCTGGTCACATGAATTTTTGTCTCTTGACTTTTAACCACCATCATCTCCATTAATTCCTTAACTTTGTTGTTGTTGTTGATTATGCCTTCTGTGAACGAATACTACCCTTCTATATCTCCCAAGCCATATAAAGCTCCACCAACACTGACCAACACTACTCCTGATGAGCTTGAGTCCTTTTTTGAGCAATGGGACACTGAGATTGAGGCATATAACAAAGCTGTGAAACACCATGGTGAATATAAGGTGAAGCGAGATAGGGAGGCTAAGTTGAGGGCTGCAGAGTTGGCAAAGGAGGAAAGAAAAAAGGAGAGGGCCTTGAAGCTTGAGAAGGTGAAGTAGGTGGCTGCTGAGAAGCAGTGATTGGAGAATGAGAGGGTAGCTGCAGAGAGGAAATGGCAAGAGAAAGAGGCAGAGGCAAGATGGTTGGAGGAGGAGAGGAGAGCCATAGAAAGGGAAAGGTTAGAGGATGAGGCCAAGGCTAAGGCTTTGGAGGCTAGAGAAGCTGCAGAGGCTGAGAAGGAAAAGGGAAAGGAGAAAGAAAGAGGAGGAGAGGGCAGATGGAGATGAAGGGAGCAAGGCTGGCAGCAGGTTCAAAGGAGATGATGAGAGAGAGAAGGATCTGAAGAGAAAAGCCTTGAAGAAGTTGGTGAAGCAGAGGAAAGATAGGAAGGGTAAGGGCAAGGCGACAGATTTGGAGGCTGCAGGGAGTTCAAAGAAGAGAAAAGTGAAGTCTAGTGTGGTGGTACTGAGTGGGAATGAGGAGGTCGCAGAGCCATCAGGGAGGCCCTTGAAGAAGTTGAAGACTGAG